TGAGGGCCGCCATGTACTGTTACTCAGGTCATCTCATTTACAGATTACATACTGCACAACTTTGGAGGCACATTAAGCTTGCAATCATATCCCCATTTTACAAATGTAGTAAATAGGGCTTTTAAAGGAGTAAGAGACATGCCCAATGGAACATAAGTGGTACATAGCAGGCCTAGATCTCGAATCTCAGCCATCTATCTCATTTATCTCCAAAACCATTGCTCTATTCACTGCTTATCCCTTAATTTTGTTCATCTATTAATTTTTTTCATCCACTAATTCAAGATTTATTTGCTTAATTCCTTTTAGATATTGCTCTAGGAACTGGGAACATAGCAACAAATAAAATAGTCATAAAAATGTAACCCCCATGGAGCTTACATTTTGGCAGCAGGAGGCAAACGACAAATGGAAAAAGTGATATATGTCAGATAGGGAAGAGGATAATGGAGAACAGTGTAACCGGAAAAGGGGCGGGGAGTGCTGGAAAGGAGGTAGGGCACCTTCATTGATAAAGTGGCATTTGAGCAAGACTTAAAGGAGGGAGAGCAGGTTGAGCCATATGAGCATCTGGGGAAAGAACATTCCAGGCAATGGTACAGCCAATGCAAAGGTCCTAATCCTGCCTGTCATGCGTGGGTAAGATAAAAAGGCCAGGATAGCTAGAATAAGTTAAGCAGGGGGTGAGTACTAAGAGATGAGGTCAGATGGGGGCTGTGTGTGCGATGACATGGGTAGAGAAACCAGATCACGGAAGGCCTTGTGAGCTACGGTAAGGACTGTAGCTTTTAGTTTGAGTGAAACAGAAGTAACTGGAAAGTTATAAGTACAAGAATAAGGTTCTGACTTAGTTCTGAATAGATTGCTCTGGCTGCTTGGTTGGGAATGGAAAGTAGGAGCCAAGAATAGGAGCAGACAGGTGGTTGGGATCCTACCGTGGACATCCAGGCTAGACAGGATTGAGGCTCACACTGCAGGAGTGGGGAGAGTAGGTCATGTAGGTGGTCAGAAATGGTCAGGCCCTGGGATATATTCTGAAGGTAGAACTGACGTGATTACTGAAAGATTGGATGTGGCATTTGAAAAAAAAAGGAACATAAAAAATTATACCAAAGTTCTTGGTCTGAGGAATTGGAAGGGTAAGATTGTCATTTACTGAGATGCCCAAGATTTGGAAAAGGTTTTTGGAGATGAATTAGCTATTTGGTATCAAAAGAAAATATAAATACTGAGATTGATACTCAGAAAAATTCAAGATCGTTATTGAGAAGCACATAGTCTTCGGAAATAGCAATAAAATTACCTAATAGAATGATCATTTATTTGGTAATAAAGATATTGATGCAATAAACTTTCCAATAAATCACATATTACCTTAATTTAATATCTAGATATTTCCTTTGCTGAAAAGTTTTAGACGTTCAGGCATTTCAAAGATCATTTGACAAAATCTATGTTTTATACAATGTTATTCATTTTAACATTGCTATCCAGTTTTAGAAGGATTCACTAGTTATTTCATTTCATAGGAAAAAAATAAATCAGTTTGTATCTATGTCTGTAACTCCCTTACCATTTCTTAAGTAACCATAGAAGCTTGAGATATTTAAAATATCGCTCGCAGGACTTTTCGCCTTATTATGTACAGATTCCATTTTGAAGGAACTGTTGGAAAGAAAAGATTTAAAGGATATTACTAACATATGAAAAATACTTCGAGAAGATAAATTGAAGATGGGGTGCATGATTACTTCAGCAAATTTGTAAATCAAATACAGATTATTTTTAGCAACATCTTTCACATTAATCTCTTTCGTGAATCTTATTTCCCCACTTTGCTCCCATCTAAAATCTTTGTCCCACTTGAATTACAAATCTTAGTTTACCAGAATTATCTGTGACCCACTTTTATAGGAGGGGCCTTGCTACTTTAGGTCACATGACTTCTGGCTAATGCAACAAATTTTTAAAGCCTAATATGTAGACATCTGCCAAAGAATTTTCCCCAGGTACCACTGGGGCCTTAGGAAGGCAGGCTTTAGCCTAGGCCAGTGTTTGAATCATAGGAATTTTCAGACACTACCAGGGATGTTCTCATTGTCAGACAGTCATTTCCTTAAAATTCCGTTAAGTCATGCACACAGTTGTTAAGCATACGGTGATTTTTCAACCTAACAACCACAACAAAATGTTTATGAAATGGTCAAATCTTTTGGAAGGATTTGGTGTGACAAATCCAATACACATTATTTTGATTTCTCAAAAAACGATATCTGGGCTCTCACAGAAGAGCAAACCTGGATTAGAGAAGCAGGCTCTCAGCCTGACTGACACCTCCATTCTATAATTTGTTTCAATGAAGAATTCTTTAAAGCATCAACTAATGTGTGATAACAGTTTAAAGGGCATTTAATGGAAGGCATGCTGAAAGCCCATAAGCTCCCCCAAAGGGCAGCAGACTTCTGTGTCAGGAACAAACTCAGAATGAAAACCTCTGGCAACCATCTGCTCTGTGGGATCATACTTAGACAAATAAATAAACTTTATTAGCAGCCTAAGTTTTTAAGAATTTGAAGATCACCTATCCCGCCCACCTCATTT